AGTCGGTGTCCTGGGAGCTGGGCGGGGTTTTCCAAGGGGAACATCTGGACGGGGCAGCCACGCGGCATAGTGGCCTTGGAAGACGCGTTTGGCCCATGACAAGCACTCTGTGTCACAGACCCAGCAGGCAGGAGCCGAGGGAGGAGGGGACGCCCTCACCGTGCACTGGGGAGACCGAGGCAGGCTGGGCAGGGACGAGAGGCGGTCTCTGGCCACCTGCCTGTGCCCTTTCCCCCTGGTCACCTCCCTCGGCCCTGGGGCTGCAGGCTCTAGTGTCAGAGGAGCTCACGCGCGCCCCTCGGCAGCCCGGGAGCCGGCAGGGGGGGGAAGGTCATGGGCAGGGTGGCAGGGGCCCCTGTGCCAGCCCACACCCCAGCCCCACCGGGCGGGGGGCCCTGGCACATGCCGCCCGTCTCCCCACAGTGCACCAAGACCTGCGGGGTGGGCGTGAGGATGCGTGACGTGAAGTGCTACCAGGGCACAGACATTGTCCGGGGCTGCGACCCGCTGGTGAAGCCCGTCAGCAGACAGGCCTGTGACCTGCAGCCCTGCCCCACGGAGCCCCCAGGTGAGCAGGGCTCCGCTGGGACGGCCGGGCGGGCGCTGGCACACACGGGCAGGGAGGGCGGGCCGGAGCAGGTCTCGGGCCTGGGCTCCCGGGAGAGGGAGGGGGTGCTGGGCCAAGGTGGGTGCGGGGCAGGGCAGGCTTGTCCTGTGGCGGGTTGGGGTGCACTTCCTGGGGGTGTTCAGACCCCTGGACGGGGTTGGCAGCTCCTACACAGCCTGGCGCCGGGGGGGGGGGGTCAGCCCCTCGGTGCACAGATCAGATCACTGGGCAGGACCTGGGACATCCCGGGGAGCAGAAGGGAGCGGAGCCCTGTCGGGTGGGAGGCCCGCCGCCCTGCACCTGGACGCGGCACGTGGGTGGGTCCACCTGCCCACAGGGCACTGCCGCCATGGCCGTCCCCCGGCAGTGGAAGAGCGGAGGGCCCCTCGGGTGCTCGCCCCATGGCTGCAACCTGACTGCGCCCACCCTGTTCCTTCCCCAGACGACAGCTGCCAGGACCAGCCGGGCACCAACTGCGCCCTGGCCATCAAGGTGAACCTGTGCGGCCACTGGTACTACAGCAAGGCGTGCTGCCACTCCTGCAGGCCCCCCCACTCCTAGGCCGGCAGCTGCAGCCCCTTGGAGACCGAGACAGAGCACCCCGCCCCGGGGCTGCTGCAGATTGGGGGGGGCCCTCCGCAGAGACACCCTCCCGCAGGGCGCCCGGGCTGCGAGTGTGGCACTGAGGCTCGGCGGTCGGACAGGGACGCCCCGCAGCCCACGGCCTGTGCGGGGGCCCCCAGTGCCCGTCTGCCCCTCCCCGGACACAGCCGGCCTGGCTGTGGGAACTCACCTTCCCGTGTGGCTCCTGGGCTGCGGTTCCCACCCCCAGCCTGGGGGTCCCCAGCCACGGGGGTCCCTAGCCACGGGGGTCCCCAGCCATGGGGGTCCCCAGCCACGGGGCCCAGGCCTGGAGCCCAGCGGGGGCGGGGCCTTCTCAAGGAGCCTGCAGGCGATCCCCACTGGGGAGGGTGTCGGGGGCGTGGAGGGGGCTCAGGCAGCCGAGGAGGCCAGGTGCACTCCTTCCGGAGGATTCTCTCACAACCGAGCCTCCGCTCAGCTTCCCCTGTGCGGAGCCTGTGTGTGCGGCGGGGCCGCCACACGCCACGCCCCCGCGGGAGGCCCTGTCCCACGGGCGTGTGGCCATGGACAGCGGGCCCCGCCCCGTCGCCGTCCGCGCTGGTCTGTGCATGTTAATAAAGTGGTCGTATTTATGGCGGCATCGTGGGCTCTCCGTGGCTTCTGGCCCAAGGGGTGGGCGGCCTGGGGGATGGGGAGCCCGAGTGCGGCCGTGGGGGTCTCTCCAGCTTGCTGGGGTCTCGGGGGCAGGGCAGGCGGGCAGGCACCTGCTCCGGGAGACAGCAGTCACAGGGAGAAAGGACGAAAGGCGACAGGAGGGCGGGGTGTGCGGGAGCAGCGTTTGGGGGCGTCAGGATGTGGGGGCTGGAAGGAGCTGACGCCCCGAGTCCATCATCACTGGTGCCGGGGGGCACGGGTGACCTGGAGGGACATGCGGGAACTGCTGCCCCCGAGCCTGACCCGGGAGCTCCCCCTGGGGCTGTGCAGGAAGAACAGGAGGTGAGGGTGGCCCGGTTGTCCTGGGCCTCCCCGGGGCTCCGCACCTGGCCTCTCGGGTGCAGGGCTGGGAGGCTCAGAGCCGCTGTTCCGGCCCGTCCCCAGCAGGAGTGGCTCTTCCCAGACCAGAGGGTGGGGAGAACATGAACGGGAGGAAACAGACACAGCCGGCCCGGAGCGCGGCGGAGGGAGATCTCCGAGTGCGTCTCTGGGCCGCGCACGGCACACAGGTGCCTCCTTTGGGCATCGGCAGCAGGGAGGCGAGGGACTCCAGGCCGCCTCCGGCGATTCGGGCCAGCCCGTCCCAGACTGGGACCCGGAGTGGGGTCCGTCACACAGTGTTTTAAAAGGACGGCTTCCGAAGGACTTGGGGCTTTGGGGAAACCAAGGCAGCAGTCCCCTCCCCCCCCCCCGCCTCCCAGTAGTTCTCGTCTGTGTGTGCACACGTGCCTGCATGTGTGTGCCCGGTGGGACTACAACCCGGCGACTGCCACGGAAGGCTCTTTTCGGTCCCCAAAGTCCAGCAGTGAGAGGCCGGAGGGACGGGGCTGCGCAGGTGAGCAGCGTGGCCCCGCAGGGCGGATCGCCCGTGGCCAGGGCTCTGGGGGCGCCTAGTCCCTGCCCGCCATCACCTCTGCCCTCCTCTCTCCCCCTCCCCTCCCACGCTCTCTTCCTTACCAAATCTCTTCCTCCCCCACCCTCCTTTCTGCCAGCACTTATTGTGCACTTGCTGTATGCCGGGCTCTGTGCCGAGCGCTGTGTCGGCACTGCCTGGTGTCACCTTCCTGAGAGCCCCAGGAGGCCGGTGTCATCGCCATCGTGCAGGTGTGAAAACTGAGGCCCAGGGAGGGTCAGTCACATGTCCCAGGTGCCCAGCTGGTCACCCACAACCCGCTCTCCGGGACTCCACGCTGGGGGGATCCTGAGCTCGGAAGATCGACCCCGCCGCCCGGGGTCGCGGGGCCAGGCGAGAGAGGGGTCTGGGCTGGCCCGCACCCCGCAGACTGAGGACTCCGCAGGTCAGTGGGAGACGAGTTTTATTGGCTTTCGTTTTCCTCGGGGAGCCGGCAGCTCCCCGGCAGGTGCCCACGGTGGAGCGGGGTGGGCTGGGGTGGGTGGAGCTTGTTTCGTTTCAAAGGGGCCTATGTGTCTACGCAGGGGGGACGGAGACCAGAGAGGAAGCAGGAAATGGAGACAGAACAGCCGCAGGAAGTGCCGTCTCCGGGGCCCCCCCCCCCCCAAGGTGATGCATCAGAACAAACTCCACTGGGAGGGGACCGGGCAGCGGAAGCCGCAGGGGGGGCTCAGGGGCCTTGGGACGAATCCTTCAGCATGTCCCCACCAGGCAGGAGGAGAAAAAGGAAGAAGAGGAGGAAAAACTGAGAACGCCCAAAACAGCAAGTCTTCACCGGCACCTCTGCGCTTTGGGGCAGGGCGAGGAGCGTCCTGCTCCGCCCCAGAGCGCGTCTCCGGGAAGGTGCCTCCCCTGCAGAAAGCTGCCCCCCACCCGGGCTCGACCCGGCTGCCAGGAGGGGACGGGGCCTCCCTCTGGGTGGGGGGGCCGTGTCGCCCACACTGGTGCCACGTGCCCCGTCCTTAGACGGAGGGAGCTGGGGACTGGTCGAATTCCCCGGAGCCCAGGGCCCCGCGGGAGCTTGGTGGAGAGTGGCCCGGACGGGGTGCTCTCCCTGGCTGCCGGGTCCGGGTGGGGTGGCCCGGACGGGGTGCTCTCCCTGGCTGCTGGGCCTGGTGGGGCCAGCCTGGCTCCCAGTCCTTGCCAAGGAGCTGGAGCTGGTGGAGAGGGTGACCTCGTCCCGGATGAGAACAAGGACTCGAAGGGCTTTCTGAGACCCAGGGTGGGGAGACCGAGGCCCAGGGGCAGCTGAGGGGGCCTTAACTCTGGGTCGTGGCTCTGCCCACCCCACCCAGCCTCAGGCTGTCTCTTGGGGGTCCTGCTCATTGGCCACAGTTGGGGCTGAGGACCGGGTGATGGCCTTTCAGCCTCTTCCTGGTCCCTGCGCCTCCTTTCACCAAAAAGCCAGCCAGGCCGAGCATCCCAGGGACCCTGCTGGGCTGGGATGTGCCCTCCTGGGGGACCCATCCATCTGCGGGGGCTCAGCACAACCAGCGTCTCAGCCCTGGAAGCTGGGAGCATGTGTGTGTGTGTGTGTGTGTGCTCAGGTGCATGTGTGTGCGCCAGTGTGTGTGCTCAAGTGCATGTGTGTGTGTGCACCAATGTGTGTGTGCTCAAGTGCATGTGTGTGTGTGCTCAGGTGCATGTGTGTGTGCGCCAGTGTGTGTGCTCAAGTGCATGTGTGTGTGCGCTCAAGTGCATGTGTGTGCGTGTGCCAGTGTGTGCTCAAGTGCATGTGTGTGTGCGTGTGCCAGCATGTTTGTGCTCAAGTGCATGTGTGTGAGTGGGCCAGCATGTGTGTGCTCAAGTGCATGTGTATGTGCGTGCGCCAGTGTGTGTGAGCTCAAGTGCATGTGTGTGTGCACCAGTATGTGTGTGCTCAAGTGCATGTGTGTGCCAATGTGTGCTCAAGTGCACGTGTGTAAGTGTGCATGCGCCAGTGTGTGCTCAAGTGCATGTGTGTGTGTCCTCAAGTGCATGTGTGTGCACACCAGTGTGTGTGCGCTCAAGTGTATGTGTGCGTGTGCATGCGCCAATGTGTGCTCAAGTGCATATGTGTGCCAATGTGTGCTCGAGTGCACGTGTGTGAGTGCACGTGTGTAAGTGTGCATGCGCCAGTGTGTGCTCAAGTGCGTGTGTGTGTGTGTGCACGAGTGCGTGTGTGGGTGGGGGGTGGATTGAGAGAGGGAGGAAGAGATGGGGGCAGTCGAGGGAGGGAGGGAAAGAGGAGGGGGAGAGGGAGAGAGAAGTAGAGGCGGGGGCTCACGCGTTTGGGACTGGGGGGGACAAATCCTTGGTGCAGGGTCCCCGGGAAGGCCAGGCTGCAGGGCGCCTAGTGTCACTGAGGGTTCCCCATCCTGGGGCGAGTGGGAGGGCAGAGTCCCAGGGCAGGGGCATCACACCAGGGCCACCCAGCGATGGCCGAGTGCCGGGGCTGGGATGGGGCCACACTCCCACTGCACCCGCACGGTGGCCTCGGTGCCCGAGCGCCCTGGCCCACACCCAGCCCCTCCCTCTGCAGCGTCACCTGGCCCTGTGTCCCCTGGCCCGAGCCGGCCCTACCCCTCCAGGACAGGCCACGCCCAGTGAGCCCTATCCCTGCAGCCAGCCCGGGGGCTCCCAGGCCTGGGCCGGCCTGAGGACAGGGACTCGGGTCCCGGCCCGGGGCCGGGCTGGCGCCCCACAGAACCCCGCCATGGTCTCAGGGTGCCCGGGCGCGGGTCACACGTCGGTGCTGACGCTGCGGCTCCGTGAGAAGGCCTCCCGCATGGCCGAGAGGCGGTTGGGGTTCAGCGCCTGCAGGCCCGCGAAGCCCGCCGCGGGCAGCCCCACGTCCTCCTGGCTGAGGCTCTTGTAGACCACGCGCTCGCCGCCGTTGAGCAGGTCGTCTTCGTCCTCCTCCGGCTCCTGCAGGAAGAAGGCTGGCGGCTCGCGGTGGGAGCAGCTGCGGCACAGGGCGCGGGGCTGCGGGGAGCGCTGGCTGAAGGAGGTGGAGGCGGCCGGGTAGAGCGCGGGGCCGTTGGTCAGCACCAGGTTGCGGTTGGAGTGCAGCGGCGGCAGGTGCGAGTGCGCCTCGAAGTCCGGCTCCTCCTCGTCCTCCTCCGACCCGTCCTTCTTGCAGCAGTAGTACTGCGGGCGGCAGGCGGGCGGGCGGGGGCTGGTGACCGCACCGCCCGCCACAGCCCGCACCTCGCCCGCGGGAGGGCAGCCCGGCCCAGACACCTGCCCGTCTGCACGGCTCGGGGCCTGGCCCGCCAGGCATTGCCGGGCGCTTTGCATCATGCTCACCACCCCCCTACACACCTCAGTTTGCAGGTGGGGAGACCGAGGCACAGAAGGGCAGGTAGCTGAAGCCGCAGAGCCGGGTTTGTGGGCAGTGGCGGTGCGGCGGCCCTGCACGGAAGGTCCCCCTGCCCTCCCGGGCGGCCGGCGCCCTTGGCCACTCCCTTCTCCTCTCGGGCGAAGGCATCCGGCAGCCTGGGCCCTGCCTGGGCGGGCTGTCTGCCTGCGCCTCTCCACCCCCAGCCCCTCCCCGGGCCCGCCCCTCAGGGCCCCAGTACCTGCAGCCGGCAGTAGCACAGGACCGCGATGATGCAGAGCAGGATCACAGTCGCCAAGATGCCCCCGGTGATCACCACCGTGCCGGCTGTCATCCGCCCCCTTCTCCATCAACGCCCTGCAACACACGCCGCACAGCGTCACCCCTCCTCGCCGCGAGGCCTCAGGAAACTGAGAGGACAAGGCCGAGGGGGAGGGGAGACACTCCAGGACCCACGTGGGCGGCAGGAGCTGGCGCGGGAGGAGAACTGGCCCTGCCCCGCCGGCCTCAGTTTCCACATCCACAGAGGCGGACGCTGAGAGCCCGGGGTTCCCTGACACTCCATCGGCGCTCGGCGCGCTCCGGCGGGGCGCGGCGCCCTCCCAGCCTGGCCCTGCAGCCTCACCGTTCTAGCATTTACCGGAACACAGTCGAGCTGAACAGACGGCTTTGCAACCCGCTTCCCTGCATCTGCACCGAGCGCGATTGCCCTTACTTTTCCATGTCATTCGATCTGCCTCTGCAACACACTTTCCAACCATATTCCACTGTTTAATGTAAGCGACGCTGTTGCTTTTAAATTTTTAATTTTGGGGAAATACACATGGCGCTTCCCATCTGAGCCGTTTTTAAGCGCACAGTTCAGTAGCGTGGCGTCTACGCACACTGCTGTGCGGTGGATCCCCAGACTTCCTCATCGCGCAGAACGGAAAGCCAATGCCCGCTTGTGTCTGGACGGCTCACACTGAGAAATACTTCCAGGCCGGGCGCGGTGGCTCAGGCCTGTAATCCCGGCACTCTGGGAGGCCGAGGTGGGAGGATCGCTCGAGGTCAGGAGTTCGAGACCAGCCTGAGCAAGAGCGAGACCCCGTCTCTACTAAAATTAGAAAGAAATTAATTGGCCGACTAAAAATAAATAGAAAAAAATTAGCCGGGCATGGTGGCGCATGCCTGTAGTCCCAGCTACTTGGGAGGCTGAGGCAGGAGGATCACTTGAGCCCAGGAGTTTGAGGTTGCTGTGAGCTAGGCTGACGCCACGGCACTCACTCTAGCCCAGGCAACAGAGTGAGACTCTGTCTCAAAAAAAAAAAAAAAAAGAAAAAGAAAAATTTCCAATGATGTTTTAATGGCAGCTCTGTGGCTAAGCAATGGGAGCCGCTTGAATTACAGAACCTACTCCAGTGACTTTTTCAGGGAAAGTTCTTAGAAGGGGTTCGAGGCCTGAGGCCCCGCGCTGCGCAGACTCTGCCGTGGGAACGGCCAGGGCACGCAGCACGGCGGGGCTGGGACAGCACTGCCCGGGCCGCTGTGCCCCGTGTGCGGAGGAGCAGCCCCGACCTGCAGCCCCGCCCCGCTCCAGCCAGAGCCGGGTTGCAGGGCCGGCTGGCGGGATTCCGGAACGTGTTTGGTCGCCGCTCACCGCCGGTGGGAGCCGGTTCCTTCCGGTCGCCTCGCTTCCCTGGGCTCACGCTTTCTCGCAGGGCCTGGGGTGCAAGGCGACACGTCAGAGCGCCCCAGTTCACCCACAAACGCTGCCGAGCGACACCCCACAGACGGGGGCCTCGAACAGTGCCCGGTCTGCGTCCAGCGGTCTCCCTTCTCATCCAAAAGGCCTTGTTACGTCTGGTGTGTCCAAGTCAGGGTCCGGGAGCGTGTGGCCCCTTTCGCTCTAGAACCGTCCGGCGGCCGGTCCCTCCCCTCTGCCCTCTCCCAACCCCTTCGTGTGTCCATCCAAGAAGCCGGCCGTTCATCCGACGGAGTTTTCCGTGCACTGGCGTTGGCCGGGTTTCCCTGTGCAATGCCTGGGTGTTCCCTTCTCGCTGTCTCGCGTCACTCCCAGGGGCCCGATGGCTGCCTGTCCCTCTTGTCCTGACGTCGCGATTGCCCAGTGGGCTCCGCCGCTCCCGGCCACGTCCCCGGCAGTCTTGCCTCCTGGGCAGCGGTCCTGGCGCACTGTCCAGCTCACGGTGTCCTGGGGCGGCGCACGTAGCGACTTTCCACTTCTTCCACATGCATGGGCTCCAGTTCTTCCAAAAAAAAAAAAAAAAAACACCACCCTAAAGAACGCTCCCTCATTCCCCACATGGTCACCCTAAAATGCGGTCTGCAGAGGAGAGGCGCGGGCGCTCAGCTCCGACGCTCGCGATCTGCAGAAAGGCGGGCGCCCTGCGAGGTTTGGGGCAGTTCTGCAGCCTCACTGGGCCTCCCTGATTTTGCGAAAACAGATGCGATGCGTTTCGAGCGGCTGCGGTCGCTATTCGCAGGGCCCCGTGTGGGGTGGGGGGTGGAGCCGCCGAGCTGCCTCCTGCGTCACTGGGCGACACGCGCCAAGCCTGGCCGGGCTCTGCCCGAGACACGCGGCTCACGGAGAGCACGGCGTGGGCGCGGGGGCCGCGGCTCCGCGTGTTTTCCGTGACGGGGTGGGGGGGAGGGGAGACTTTCCAGTTTTTAGAAAGAGAAAAATGAAACGTGAGTTCGTACTAATTTCTCCACTCAAAATTAGAGGTTGCAGGGTTTTTGCTTGTTACGATTTGATGTCTGTGTGACTTTAGCAGTGAAACTCCTGTCCCTGATAATATGACCCTGTTTACTCTTTCCAGTTACACGTAATAATTTTGAAATAACTTCATCAATGTCTTTACTAACACGTCTGCTGGGAGGAATGTGGTTTCCCTTTAACCGTTTTGTTCTCATCCCTTTAGGGGTCAAACACTCAAAAGGCTGTTTCAGAGTTGTTTGGAATGATTCTTATAGCGTGGTTTTCCCACCAACTGGATACTCTGGTTTATTTATTTTTCAGTTTGTTTTTAATTTTTTAAGTGTATTTAATTTTGCTTTTTAATTGTAGAGGATGCTTCTGGAGTCGAAGCATCAAAGCAGGCACATCCAGAAGGGTCTTGCTTCTGCCCCAGAGGTGACAGTTCTGCTTCGTTCTGGGGTTCACCCTTCCCTTGCTGCTTTTATTTTTTTTGAGACAGTCTCACTCTGTTGCCTGGGCTAGAGTGCCGTGGTGTCAACCTAGCTCACAGCAACCTCAAACTCCTGGGTTCAAGCGATCCTCCTGCCTCAGCCTCCCGAGTAGCTGGGACTACAGGCATGTGTCACCATGCCCGGCTAATTTTTTCTATATATATGAGTTGGCCAATTAATTTCCTTCTATTTTTTAGTAGAGACGGGGTCTCGCTCTTGCTCAGGCTGGTCTTGAACTCCTGACCTCGAGCTATCCGCCCGCCTCGGCCTTCCAGAGTGCTAGGATTACAGGCGTGAGCCACCACGCCCGGCCCCTTGCTTGTTTTTAAAATCATAAGCAGAGATATGCTTCTCTTCCCCGTTTAAAAGAAAGTGGCGTCTATGTTTACTTCCTTCCCTTCCTGCAGCAGCCGGTCCCTCAACGGGACAGCTGTCCCTGGGGGTGCCCCCAGAGCGGGCGTGGCACTTGCTGACCTCCGTCACTCCAGCCCATGCCCCGCTGTGCCGGGCAGCCCCGGCGCACCCGCCAGCCCCCAGGCGGGCACTTGCGCGGCCCCCACTCTGCGCTACCGCAGAACCGTGCAGGGGAGAGCTCTGTGGCATGCACATGTCTAAAGTTTTTGGTGCACGCTGCCAAGGACTTGCTGGAATTTGGGCCAATTTATCCCCTTCCTGGAATGTGTGAGAATAACTGACAGATGGGGTTTTTGTTTGGAAACTCAAGGTCTGGGTGGTGGGCGGGTGGGACGGGGGTGGGGTGCGGGGAGGTGTGCGGGGGAGGTCGCGGGCATCGTGGGGGCCCTGCAGACTCTACAGCCAGAGTTGGGGGTTCGAAAACCTGGCAGGGCCCTGGCCAGGCAGGGGCGACAGGTGGAGGGCGTGGACCTGTGCTGACATGGGGCAGGGGAGGGGCAGCACTGGCCAGGCTGGGACCAGACTGGACCCCAGGAAGCAGATGGAGTGGCAGAGCCTCGCCGACCAGTGAGGAGACGTCGGGCAGAGACAGACACAGACGGAGACACAGGACCCTGCTTTCCTGGGCACCTTGGCCTCCCGGGTGGCTGTGGCCAGCCGGCCCGCCCGGCCCTGCTGAGGGTGCAGGCTGAGCCCGGGCAGGCCCCAGGGGGGTGGGCATGCAGAGGGGCTGGTGGGGATCTACAGGCTTCCACACTCTTCTGCAAGGACAGGCACAGCATAGCAGGTGGCCACCGGAGCCCAGGAACCCGGGCAGCCTGGGGAGGGCAGGGCCACCCCCGGGTGACAGAGCCGAGCCCCAGCACCCCCAGGGCAAGGCTGGTCTGTGTGCGTCATCCTGGCACATGGGCCCCCTCACAGCTGAAAGCCACGACATGAGGGCTGCGTGTCCCCCTCCCCCAGCCCGCACGGGAGCCCAGGGCCGCCCGCGTAGAGAGACCATTGTGGACCCCGTCATCCCGTCCAACACCGGCCGGGCGGGTCCCTCCTCCCTGAGACCCCACGCCTGCCCCACCCGGGCTGTGCGGCCACTTTGCAGACGCGCACGCCTCGGCCTGGCGAGGAGACGTGGCTGCCGGGCCCAGCGCCAGGAAGGTGAGGGGTCGGGTCAGGGCCGCGCCCGCCACTACCATCCCCGAGTGCTGCCCAGCCCCTGCCCCCGTGTGAGCGTCCCGAGTCCTGCGGCACTCCGTGCTGGTTTTGGGGTGTAGCCAGCCCCGGCCTTCTGCTCCTCGCCCTGCCCCGAGCCAAGAAGCCACCTCTGTCCCATGTCTGCTGCCCCTGTGTCTACATGGCGTGTGCCCGGCCGGGCCAGCTTCTCCCCTGGGACGCTGGCTGGTCCCTGCTGGTCACCTGACCTTGTGGGCAGGGGTGGCATTTCCAGCCGCGTGTGTGGAGAGCCAGAAGGAGCCGTTGCATGAGGGAGGGAGGACACAGAGGCAGGGAGGCCCAGGCTGTGGTCCGCACACCCCCGCCCGACCCACAGTGCAGAGTGGCTCTTCCTGCTCCTTGCACCCAGATAACTAGGGTCCCCCTTTGTCCGTGCGGGAGCTCGCTGAGCTGGGGCAGGGGGGAGGCACTGGCCTGCGAGTCCCGAGTGGCTGAGCAGGGCTGGAATTCACCCCACGGCCCCCCAGCCACGGCCGGGCACACAGCTGGGGTTACTGACTGCAGTGGGGGTCACGTCCCACAGGGAAGCACGTGCCAGGGTTGAGGGGCCCCCCCACTGATACCGGGGCTGCAGGGGGGTCGGGGACTGCAGGTGGCCATGGCGGGACAGCTAAGGGGGACCTCCCTACAGTGCGCTCGCTGAGACGGGACCCACGGCCAGCCCAGCTCTGCGTCTGGCTGGCTGCAGGGTGGGCCCCAGGGTCCCTGCGTCTCTGCGGCTGGCAGGGGCTGCGCCCTGGGTCCCGGTCCCGTCTCAGGGCCCCGAGGGCGGCCGCACTCCCAGAGCCTCTCTGCCAGGCCCGAGACACAGACGCCCGGCGCTGCAGGCCCCAGGCCGCGGCCCCTCTGGGCCCAGGTCCCCGCTGGCGGCGGCAGCCTGGCGGCGTGACGGGAAGGGTGCTGGCTCGGGCCGGGCGCCCAGGGCTGTCAGCAGCCACCCTCCGACACCCGGGCCGGGCCAGCTGGAGTGTCTCAGCCTCGCGCTGCAGATAGGCGCGGGCCCACGGCGGGCGCCAGGTCCCAGGCCGGGCCCGGCCGGCAGACGCACACGCTGCTGGCAACGCCGCCGGCGCCGGCCTGACGTCAGTCAGTCCACAGCCCCCGGGACCCCACCCTCCTCGTCCCCACGCTAGGGACGCCCTTCCCTCCCGGCCCACCCCGGCATCAGAGCCACGTGTGCGCATGCCTTCCTCCTCCGGGAAGCCTTCCCGACCTTCTCTAACGCCCCTCACGGAGCCTCAAAACACCTCTGCGGAGGGACCACACCCCCACCACTTAACCGGGACGGGTGGGATGCCGCCCCGCTGTTTTCCCTCCCTCGTACCCTGCGCCTGCTCGAGCCTGCAGGTCTCGGGGGTCCTGGGACTCCACCCGGCCGCAGCCCGCGTGACATGAGGGCAGCAGGTGACGACGGGTCTCCGGCTAAATACCTGTGGGTGACGTGGGCGGGGCCTCTGTCTGGGCTGTGTTCTCATCTCCAAACCCGTACGGCGCGGTTTAGGCGACCGATCCCCCCAGCTCCGCGGGGCTAATGAGCCCAGGGAGGTTCCGAGTGATGTAGATTCCCTGACAGGGTTCGAGGATCACGAATGTGAAAGCATGCCGGCGGTGAGTCAAGGCGGCCCCTCCCAAGGCAGGGCAGAGAGCCGGGGGGCTGCAGATGCTGATTTACCTGCCTGGGTCTTTCTCGGTCAGTGGGGCTGAGCCGGTGTCCCAGGGACTCTTGTGTCCTGAGAATGGGGGAGCAGTGGGGGTCTCTGGGGCTCTGGGCTGAGGATGATAGTAATGGGTGTGGGGGGGTGTAAACCAAAGGGAGCTTCCTGGAGGAGGCGGCTCTGAGCAGGTCCCCAAGGAGGGCTGTCTCGACTGACTGGCTGGGCGCGAGAGAGGGGGAAGAGGGGCTGTGGGTGCAGGCACGGCACAGGCAGACACTCAGAGGCAGAGAGGTGCCCGGCAGGCCCAGGGACGGGCTGGCGGAGGCTGCTCTGCTGCCTGGCTGCACCCGGGCGCGCCCTGCTGTCTCCGCGCTGCCAGCCAAGACGATCTGGCGAGAACAGCGCCGAATTGTTAATCTGCCCCCTGGGACCATAAACGGTTTTAAAGCTTTATAAACGGCTGTGCTTCCCTATTCCCGCTCTGGAGTTTAGAGACAGGCTGTGAGACGGGCCCTTCTGTGCGCCCCCCACCCGCACCCCCAGAGCCGGTGGGGGGCTCGGGCAGCAGTACCCCCCGACCGCCCCGCGCCTCCTCCCCGGCTGGCGAGGACAGCCGGCCGCGTTTACAAGCCCGGTTGTCTCCGAGGCACTGGGGGCCACATGGGGCGGCGCTGGGGTGGGCAGGAAACACCTGGCCGTGGGGCCAGACACCGGCCTCACCTGCCCCCGTGGGCCCTCCCCAGCCGAGCCTCACGGCC